ATATTTGATAAAGCATCCTTGCAAGGTGTGGTCAGTTATGGAGACAGGTCCTGAGATTGATTCCAAGGATGCATCTGTGGTCCACTGTAGATGCAACGTTGACCTTGTTAACTGCATTTAAAGAGACCGGGTCCAAGCCTTGGGAGAATGCACTCGTTTCTCAAGAGTTCCAGCAAATTCCCCACCTCTCTTCACAGCAGTTAAGCAGTTCGTTGTCACTTAACTGGAGGAGAGTCGGAGGAGATACAAGGAGGGGTCATGCATTCTTGCAACTGGCCCCCAGTTTGTTAACTGCAGATATCAGAAAGCCAACATCACAACAGCACTTGCCTACCCTAGCAATGAAACGGAAGATCTATGTGAATACCAATCCACACTATTTTCTATTTTGCAGAGGCAAGATGAAGGAAGCCTGCAAAAGTAATATTGAATAAGAGATCAACGTGAGATGGTCAAGAGCTGTAAGAGAGAATGGGCAGATATATGCATACGCACATGGGGAAACCAGCAATGTCAAAACAACTCTGCCCCGCCATTTCCCATGAGGATGAAATCACAAGTTCTGATATCATGAGTGGTCCTCAGTCATGGGCAACCACATCACTCCTACCCTGAATGACTGATTGCTATTAGCAGGGAATGTTTGCTTGACAATTCCGTTCCAATTTCTGGAGGTTCATATCGTCTGAGGTTCTACTGTGTGAAAAGTTCATTTTTGAATCTAACACGCATATTGGGGGAGGAGAGCAGGGAGGAAAAGCACATGTCAACATAATAAATATTTTAGTAAGATGAGAACTTTTTTTAAAAAAAAAAGAGGAATGATATGGATGCCTTCAAGGTTAATGACACAAACATTAAATGAAACATACAGGATAAAGGCTTAAATATCTTTTAGCTCCTTAGTGGTCAGCATGACCAAATAAATAGAAAAATACACAGATTAGTAGCAGCAAATATCAATCAATTTACTGGCCATTAAGAAAACCACTTATTTTCCCCTTCCCTCTCCCACCACCACCCTTATTCATCCAGACAGAAGATGCTCAGAGCATCAGGTGGGCCTGTGCAAAAGATCTGCTATTCTCAGAACAGTGCCCTTCACAAACCATATATTTCAGAACAGAGATGTGCTGTTCCAAATTGAAAATACAGAGTTTCAAGACAAAAGCAAACCAGTCTCTGGCTCATCTCTACCATTCAAGTGGGCTCTCAGATTTGGTTTCATGCAGTCTCCTCTCTCTTTTCCTGAATGGAATCCACTGTTGTATGGACCTCATGAAATATGAATTCTCTTCCTCCCCACCAGGGATCAATTGTAGCAGACCACTCATGCCCTCTTGGAAAGCTGAACACCAGAAGACAAACTGGGGCAAAGAACAAGACGGCATGAAGGCCCTTTCTCCCAAATTCTGAGGCCTATGAAAGCCATGGTTGTTCAAAACAGTTGAAATTAAAAAGGGGTTAAAACCAACAGCAGCCTCAGCCGAGGACGAGATGGATGGATGGATGGATGGATGGATGGGCAAACCAAATAACCTTCCCATCCCAGCCAGCCATGAACACTCTAAAGTTACAATCCTCTCCACATTTATCTGAGAGTTTAAGCCCCATCAAACCCATTGGGACTTGCTTCTGAACCAACATGAATAGGATCTGGCCGTCTATAAAGGTAAAGGGACCCCTGACCATTAGGTCCAGTCATGACCAACTCTGGGGTTGCGCGCTCATCTCGCTCTATAGGCCGAGGGAGCCAGCGTTTGTCCGCAGACAGCTTCCGGGTCATGTGGCCAGCATGACTAAGCCGCTTCTGGTGAACCAGAGCAGCACACGGAAATACTCACAGAAATACACTGTCTATACCCTTGGCCAAATTAGCAATCAGTACATTACATAACACTTCCCCACTGAAATCAAGAGGATTGCAGAAGTGGCAGCTCTCTCGTTGCACCATCAACTCTCCTGCTCTGAAGTCGAGTGCCTACCTCACAGTGCTCATACAGGAATGGTGGAAACAGGGAACTGGGAAGGGGAAACCCTCCGCCTGCCCGGATCCATAAAACTAGAGGGCGAAAACTCTAAATAAATAAATAAATAAAAGAGGGTGGGCAAAAATGCATTTTTCTTTCCACGAAGGTCAAAAAGCTATACAAAAGAAGAGCATGGGCAGGGCTTTGTACCACACTAGGTTTTTTAAAATTTACATTATTTTAAAAATCAAAGCAGTGGGATTCAGAGCCTGTGCCACTTCACAGCAGGGGAAGGTTTGTTTGTTTGTTTGTTTACACTTGAAAAGCACATCAGAGTGTTGCGCTGAACTTTTCTCCTTGTTGTGTAAGTCTACTGCCTGCAAGGAGTCTGGGGTTAGAGGCAGAGAGCATTCGAGAATGCAATTCCCCCACCTGCAGACTGAAGTGGTAAAGTCCACGGCTCTAACATTCCAGTCTGTCCCTTTTGTTTTGTGCAGACCAGCACCTGGGTTCTTGAGATGTACCTTTTTACGGCTTTTGAGAGAGAGAGAATATTTAAAGGGAAGTATCAAAGCAATACCATAAAGAAGGCTGATCGCTGAAGAATTGATGCTTTTGAATTATGGTGCTGGAGGAGACTCTTGAGAATCCCATGGACTGCAAGAAGATCAAACCTATCCATTCTGAAGGAAATCAGACCTGAGTGCTCACTGGAAGGACAGATCCTGAAGCTGAGACTCCAAGACTTTGGCCACCTCATGAGAAGAGAAGACTCCCTGGAAAAGACCCTGATGTTGGGAAAGATGGAGGGCACAAGGAGAAGGGGACGACAGAGGGCGAGATGGTTGGATAGTGTTCTCGAAGCTACCAGCATGAGTTTGACCAAACTGCGGGAGGCAGTGGAAGACAGAAGTGCCTGGCGTGCTCTGGTCCATGCAGTCATGAAGAGTCGGACACAACTAAACAACAACAACAACAACACCAAAGAAATGCATGGGAACTCAAGAAACAAAAGCATGGCAACTCGTATTAATGCATGAAGCTGCCTTATGTAGAGTCATACCATTGGTCATGTATTGTCTACATCTGGGTTTCCCAAACTTGGGTCTCCAACTGTTTTAGGATGACAACTCCCATCATCCCCAGCTAGCAGGACCAGTGGTCAGAAATGATGGGAATCATAGTCCCCAAACAACTGGAAACCAAAGTTTCCATTGGCTCTCAAGGGGTTTAGGCATTCTTTTCTCAGTCCTACCTGGGAGATGTCAGGGGTCAAACCTGAGACCTTTTGCATGCAAAGCAGATGTTCTGCCACTGGACCTGCCCACCCAACCCCACTTGTTCCATTTCTCAGTTAAATGAATCTGCTAAGCAACAAAATTTAGGAGTGGTTTCATCCATCCATGAAGGTCACGGGATGGGTCTGGATACTCCTGTGCTTCAGCGGCTGAATAGGCATGCAATCACAGCTGGTAGTGTGTCAGAAAAGCGAATGCCAGCTCCTCTAAACAATGAGACTTCTGAAGGAAGAGGATGGTTGCAAGCATGCCTGAGACAAGACGCGCTGCCCAGCTATCTATCGCTATTCTAGAAGCCAAGGTCAGATGCTTCCAGTTGAGCAACTGGCTATGGCTGGCAACGCATAAACCTCACAAACGCCATGTTTCCAATTGCTGACAGTCATCAGCCTCACACACTGTGAAATTATGGACTTGTTCAGGGCTACCCTCCACCTCTAGAGCTTTTACAACTCTATAGTACCCTCTGTAAAAATTGAGTGAATATGCCGAACCGGCAAATGTAACTATGAAAATCAGGGATCAAGAAGAGGCCATCTGTAAGGGAGTCTGGAAACCTTTCATAGAATATTTGAAGAGTTGTTGCAAACACGTAAAAAGGCAAGTAGGATTTGAATGAAAAACAGCAGTAAATACTATGTACTAGGGAATAAACGGAAAGGATAGGACACAGAATAATCAAAATATGCAGCAACATGAGAAATTATGGGGAAACCATGGAGGGGTGGAGGGGAAGTCAAGTGGTAAATGCATATTAATGGGAAAATATGTATTTTGTATTAAATTTGTAAATGTTTGAAATTTATAAATTAAAAAGAGATAGTACCCTCCGATCCGGAGGAAATCATTTTGATTTTTCCTATTATTATTATTATCATTATTATTACAAATGAAATGTGTGAAATAAAACTCATCCACAGCTATGAAGATGAAGGAAAGTAAAGGTGTTTTCAAAGTATGCTGAACCTTTAAAACGGCTTTCAGTGTTAAATGTATTGAAATGACTAGGGCCCTCTTGTCACATGTAAGCTAGGGAGGCCAGCCCAATCCACTGCCAGGGAGTTTGGAACTATGTGCTCCAAAACACACACACACCCCACTTCTGCAAGTGGAATGGCTCAAATTCATATTACTTCCACGTCAAAAATCGCCTGAATTTTTAACAATTTCTGATTGCTTGTGGCTTTTGTTATACTCTCCTTTCAAAAGGCACAATTTGCATGAATGCATATTGTCTGTCTTTCTCTCCCCACCCCCAATACATTTGTTAGGATTTTTATCCACCTGTGCTGCTCCAGTATGTAGCACTATGTTGTTTATATCATGTGAGTGTCTGAGAGCGTGAGACAGGAAGTCTCAATACTGTTGGAAGTTTTAGTTTCACTTCTGTGTGTGATGCTGTTCTGTACTGCGGCTGAGAGAGCACAGACATGCTGATGGATTCTTTGTATATAGACTGTAAAATAAAGTAGTTTAGAGCTACTGATTGACTCTTTCTTGGATTTGATATCCCGCTTTATCACTACCTGAATGAGTCTCAAAGCGGCTAACATTCTCCTTTCCCTTCCTCCCCCACAACAAACACTCTGTGAGGTGAGTGGGCTGAGAGACTTCAAAGAAGTGTGACTAGCCCAAGGTCACCCAGCAGCTGCATGTGGAGGAGCGGGGAAGCGAACCCGGTTCACCAGATTACGAGTCCACTGCTCTTAACCACTACACCACACTGGCTCTTCTGCTATGAGATGCCAGAAGACGAGCGTGCTCCTCTCAGGAGGGAGGGGTCGCTTATCACCGGTCTCTCTGGACTGAGGAAGATTTACAGCCAGAGAGTGACCATCAGAGAAACGCCCCGGTGTCTTGGGAAGGTGGTGGCCTTCCCAGGCGTTTTCCCCAACAATATTGTCTTGATAACTCTGCACTGTATTTGATGTTCACGGTTTGTAAACCCAATAAACTGAAACTGGGATATTCACATACTTCATTTTGCATATTTGAATTGGATGCTGTACAATAAAAATAATAATAACGCACCTGGAACGCCAACCCCCTTTTTAAAAATGGCTGGTTCCAACTTTGTAGGAGGGGAGGGCAATGGGTATGAAAGGAAAGGGTGGCAGAATGCCATGGGGACAATAGGTTTTTACTAGCTTTGGAGGGGGACAGACAAACCTCTGGCCCCATATCTACTTTCTAAGCGAGTTACCCTGCAGAGTTTTAGCTTTCCCTCTCTATGCCCACCGGCAGAATCTTTGTAAACAGACAAAGATGTCTTCTACCAACTGTGTCTCTACAGGCTCATCCAGCCCAGTATTGGCAATTCTAAGCGGCGACATCTCGCCCAGGCCTTGGGGCAGAGGTCTTCCGCAGCCCTGGTACCCAAGAGCCTTTGATGCAACTGAAGGTGCACAGGTTCAAAGCCAGGACCTCCTGTTTGCAAGAGGTGCACTCTGCCATTGCGCTCTGGCCTGCCGATGGAGCTAGGACTCCTGGCGCAGCACTGTGGCTGCTTTTCTCTCATCCAAACTGCCCCTTCTGAAGCTGCAGTGGAATGCAGGGCGAAAACAAAGAAGAAGAAGACAAAGAAGAAGAGAGAAAAGGGCGAAACTTGCGCCCTGCCTGTTTGTGGCTCCGGTGCTTCCCAGGCCAAGTCTCATGCAAAGGGGAGATTAGGGGTAGGGGGAAGTAGGCAAGGTTGAGCCTTAGCAAATGAGCAAACACAACACGGAGAACTTGGCACCCTGCAGCGCATACTTGTGTGCCAAGTGGCAGCGAAATTTGCAAAAACCCTTTTGCTTCACCTATTTCGCTGCTGGCCTTGTAGGTGCTTTAAAACACAGAGAGAGAGAAAAAAGAGAAAGCGCTGGAGAGCGGAACTCCTAAGGCACGGAGCAGAAAAAGCAGGGCGAACGGCAAGCGGCAGGCGAGAGAAGTTGCTCCCTCCATCAGGGTTGGCGGGAGGGGAGGGAGGGAGGAAGGATGGAGCCAGCGGGAATCGCCGTCTCATTGTACGTAGCCCAGGTTCTCCATCTCGTTCTTGTAGCGCTGCTCCGAGACTTTGCTCTTGTGCTGCTTGCTCTCCAGATGCTGCCGGAACTCAGCCTCCTCGCTGGCGCCGGCGTTGCACATGGAGCAGTAGAACTGGCCGCTGGGGGTGACGCACATGGCGAGGTCACGCGGGATCCGCTGGCGGGAGCGAGGGTTGAAATAAGGGCCTGCAGGAAGAGGGGAGGGAGCGGAAGGGAAAGGTCATTCATGTCCTGCCAGAGAGAGGTCTTAGGGCCCAGTTCACACTAGCCAAAAACCTTAGAAGAAGAAGAGGAGTTTGGATTTGATATCCCGCTTTATCACTACCCGAAGGAATCTCAAAGCGGCTAACATTCTCCTTTCCCTTCCTCCCCCACAACAAACACTCTGTGAGGTGAGTGAGACTGAGAGACTTCAGAGAAGTGTGACTGGCCCAAGGTCACCCAGCAGCTGCATGTGGAGGAGCGGGGAAGCGAACCCAGTTCACCAGATTACGAGTCTACCGCTCTTAACCACTACACCACACTGGCTCTTAGAAAAAGTCCAGGCACTGGATCAGGTCAAAGGCCTATCTGCATGGTGCAGCACCCTGTCCTCACCATATGTTGTTGAAGCTGATTTATTAACCTTGTATACCGCCCTTCCTCAGTTGATCTCAAGGCAATTCACAACAGAAAAGTACAATACAAGAAACACAAAATCATAGAATCATAGACTTGGAAGGGACCCCAAGGGTCATGGAGAGCAATTCTTACATTGAGCTTGGTCTATTCATTTTGCCGTTTGTCTTATGCGTAGTGGGTTTTATGCATGTTTCACATCTGTCTGTGGACAACTAGTAGGCATGGACATAGATCAGGCATGTCCCGTGAGCAAGAAGACACTGTTTCAGCCTCCTTGCCCTGCAAGAAGCCTCTATGCAGGTAGGAAAAATCTTTTGTGATACATTATGGCCTTTTGCAGTCTATGCGGCAGCTAGACAGGTAACTGGGAGTGGCCGACAAGACCATATAACACCGGTCCTGAAAGACCTACATTGGATCCCAGTACGTTTCCAAGCACAATTCAAAGTGATGGTGCTCACCTTTAAAGCCCTAAATGGCCTCGGCCCAGTATACCTGAAGGAGCGTCTCCACCCCCATCTTTCAGCCCGGACATTGAGGTCCCGCTCCGAGGGCCTTCTGGCGCTCTCCCTCACTGCGAGAAATGAGGTTACAGGGAACCAGGCCTTCTCAGTAGTGGCACTCACTCTGCGGAACACCCTTCCATCAGATGTCAAGGAAATAAACAACTATCTGACTTTTAGAAGATCTCTAAAGGCAGCCCTATTTATGGAGGTTTTTAATGTTTGATGTTTTAACGTGTTTTTAATATTCTGTTGGGGGCTGCCCAGGGTGGCTGTGGAAACCCAGTCAGATGGGCAGGGTATAAATATTATTATTATTATTATTATTATTATTATTATTATTATTATTATTATCTAATAGAATCACAGAACTGTTGAGACAGAAGGAATCTCAACTAAAGCATCCATGACAGATGGCCATCCAACCTGTTCTGACTTTAATTCTGCATTGGGTTGTATCCCATGTTAGTCCTACTTAAAGCAGACCCACTGAAAATAAAGGATATGAATAACTTAGGTCCATTCATTTCAGGGGTTCTATTCTTAGGGACATCACAGGGACGGTTCTAAAAGGTAGCCTGGAAATCTCAAATAAATACATGCAATTAAACCAAGATCACTCCATTGAGCCTAAAGCTTTCAAAACGTATTTCAGTTACGTCTTGATCAAGCTAAAGCACCTCTTGACCCACTCAAAACAAGTAAACAAAATGTCTGTCTCCTGGACTGTTTATTAAAAATTCCGCTCCGGAAATGCTGGAGGTGAAAAGGATTCCCACAGCAGATGGCCTTGGAGGGTGGCTAACCAGCTCTGTCTTTCTGGACGACGGCAGAACGAAGAGGATCCAGGAGTCAAATGACCTGGCCTCGCGCCAAGGAAACTGAGCAGAAAATTGCCCCCGCTCAGAGCAGCATCCGAGAAGGGCAGATGGCAAATTAAGTTCTGGAGTGAGAAACCAAGGCTCACTAATAGGCAGACATACCCAAGCAAACTTTGGGTGCTGTGAGGGCAAAGACAGACAGGCAGACAGGGGTCATGGGGAGAGAAAATCAGACAAATAAGTCTTTAATGCTCATTTTCTGCAGCACCGACTGCCCAGGTTCTTTGGAAACCTCAGGACAAAGCCTTTGCAAAGCCAAAAGGCACAAGATATATATATATATATATATATATATATATATATATATTAAGAAATTACGAAAAGAAATACAAGACTCTGTCCTCTGCTACCTTCCCTGCAGAAGAACATTTGTTCTCTTTAGTGTTTCTCATGTGTTCCTGCCCTAATTTCTCCCTGGCTCCCCACCACCAAACCAACTCTCCCCCTCTACCTCTTCCAATCTACCTCACAATGTCTGGGCAGCATTCATCAACCTTGGGATCAGGGATAGTATTGGACTACACCTCTGCAGGGTGCAAGTCGCTTGTGAAGGAGCAAAAATCAGCACCATGTGGGATAGGATCCTCCTGTGTGTGTATGCATACGTGTGTGTGCCTGAAAAACTGCACACACCATCTTTTTCCGGCGGGACCTGGACAAGGCAGCAGCGGCGGCAGCCATGGCAATTCGCTACCCGATGGCCGTGGGCCTGAACAAAGGCCACAAGGTGACCAAGAACGTGGTGAAGCCACGCCAGTGCCGACACTGTGGGCGGCTGACCAAACACACCAAGTTTGTCCACGACATGATCCGGGAAGTGTGTGGCTTTGCCCCCTACTAGAGGCGCGCGATGGAGCTTCTCAAGGTCTCCAAAGACAAGCGAGCTCTGAAGTTCGTCAAGAAAAGGGTGGGCACCCACATCCGCGCCAAGAGGAAGAGGGAGGAGCTGAGCAATGTCTTGGCGGCCATGAGGAAAGAAGCCGCCAAGAAGGACTAGCAGCTCCTTGTTCCCCCCACCCCAAAAAGAAAGTACCCAATAAACTTATTTCAAAAAGGAAGAAAGAAAGAAAGAAAACCTGCACACACCATCGTTTGCAAGGATCTGAAAACCCTTCAAATAATAACTTAGCCCCATGTCATGTTGGCTGTCGGTATACCACTTGCTTTTATTTTCAGAGGGGTAGCTGAGCGAGATCATGAACCAAGATGGTGGTCACTGGTCCCATCACCTCCTGGCAAAAAGAAGGGGAAGAAATGGAGGCAGTGAGATATTTTACTTTCTTGGGCTCCATGATCACTGCAGATGGTGACAGCAGGCACGAAATTAAAAGACGCCTGCTTCTTGGGAGAAAAGCAATGACAAACCTAGACGGCATCTTAAAAAGCAGAGACATCACCTTGCCAACAAAGGTCTGTATAGTAAAAGCTATGGTTTTCCCAGTAGTGATGCGTGGAAGTGAGAGCTGGACCATAAAGAAGGCTGATCGCCGAAGAATTGATGCTTTTGAATTATGGTGCTGGAGGAGACTCTTGAGAGTCCCATGGACTGCAAGAAGATCAAACCTATCCATTCTGAAGGAAATCAGCCCTAAGTGCTTACTGGAAGGACAGATCCTGAAGCTGAGGCTCCAATACTTTGGCCACCTCATGAGAAGAGAAGACTCCCTGGAAAAGACCCTGATGTTGGGAAAGATGGAGGGCACAAGGAGAAGGGGACGACAGAGGACGAGATGGTTGGATAGTGTTCTCGAAGCTACCAGCATGAGTTTGACCAAACTGCGGGAGGCAGTGGAAGACAGGAGTGCCTGGCATGCTCTGGTCCATGGGGTCACGAAGAGTCGGACACAACTAAACGACTAAACAACAAAGCTGAGTGAGTCATCTCTTTGCTGCAGCCAAAACAATATACAACTGAGCCAGGGTGGACTAGGACCTGGGAAACCAGGGTTCAAATCCCCAATTGGCCACAAATTCCTCTGGGTGACCTTCAAATCAGTCACTCCCTCAGCTTAACCCACCTCGCAGGGTTGTTGTTAGGATTAAATGGGGAGGAGGAACCAGTAAACACCACCTCGAGCTCCTTGGAGGGAAAGACGGACTAGAAATTAAGAAAGTAAACAAATAAACTTGTTTGTGGCATAAACGTTAACCGTTTATGCATCTAGGGAACCAGGCAGAGGGCCTTCTTGGCAGTGGCAACCTCCTTGGAACACTCTTCCAACCGATGTCAAGGAGATAAAGAACTACACGACTTCTAGAAGACATCTGGAGGCAGCTCTGTATCGGGAATTTTTAAATGTTTGGTGTTTGATCATGTTTCTGTATATGCTGGAAGCTGCCCAGAGTGGCTGGAGCGACCCAGTCAGATGGGCAGGGTACAATTATTTATTATTATTATTATTATTATTAGACTGTAACCCACCAAAGTTTATGTTGTAATGAATGTCAGCCTTTAAAGTGTCATCACAACAACAACAACTTAGCCTGACTCCTCCCTGAATTGTTTTGGGGTGCAGCACAGGATAAATTGCTGTGATCTGAGGGCCACAGGGCAGGTGGGGGGGTCCCTGCCCAGCCCTATTGTATTAGTAAACCTCCCTCTTGCTATGTCCCAGGCTACAGCTTCAGCTATGGATGTAGAACTGGTAATTGGCTGCAATGATTCTGGAATCACAAGGCCTCTCATCCCTAACCTGGCTCTGCTATTGCGCAAAAGGAGGTCTCTAGCTTCAACTAGAAATAACACACACTGAATAGGATGCAAATTGTCAGTGTTTGAAAAAGAAAGGTTCTGACCTCCTTTGACTCCTTTGCCTGGTCCTCAGACCCTAGTTGACACAAGAGAGTCCTTGAGAAAGAGTATTTTTGCAGAGTATTGCTGCTTTTATTCTTAAAAGTCTTCTTATCCCACCACGACCGACAGCTTTATACATATTAACGCAACCAGCTTTCAACCATCTGACCAACCCAACCCACGCCACAAAGAGACCATCAATGACCACCCTATATACAAGCATACGTAGGTGGAAGGTTTCATGAGTCATGCTGACTCAGTTCCTTTTTGTATTAAAGAAACAGCAGTTATTTTTTAGCCGCGACAGCAAATATGAGAAGTACCTGTGTTACTCTGGACGGCATAGACGTTTCGTCTGCTCTGCATCATCTTGTATTCGTTCCCTACTTTCCGCATCTTCCTTTTGCCCACCACTTCTGATGACTCCCTGGTGTTGTGAAGACAAGAAGAAGAAGAAGAAGAAGAAGAAGAAGAAGAAGAAGAAGAAGAAGAAGAAGAAGAAGAAGGAGGAGGAGGAGGAGAAGAAGAAAGGAGCAGGGGTGTGGGAAGACGAGGAGATATATTTTACAGGTGTCACCAGACAAGGTTAGCAAAAGCCATTCCAATCACAACCCCTCACTCTCAAAGAAGTTCAGTAATACCTACGAGAATGCGTTGTTTTGAGCTTCAGCCAGGCGCAACCTCTTTGCGTGATTCTTCCCTTGGTAGTGAGCCTGGGCCACAGCCGGCGAACTGAACGAAGCGTCACACAATTTGCAGTAGTCATTTTCTGTGGCCAGGATCACCCGCCCTCCTGGTTTTGAGGAAGCGCCCTGGTCAGAAAGGGGGGGAAAGGCATTAAGGCACATCAATGTGGCTCGTTCTTCAAAACGGATGTTCTTGTACTTACTCATTTGGTTGGTGGGCATTCTCAGGGACTGGCTGCATGAAGAGGAGTGGTGGGAGGCACCAGCCGGGGAACCCCCAGAGGAGAAAGGCTCACAGTCAGGGGATTGGTGGTGGACACTTAGGAGAGGAGAAGATTGGAGGAGGGAGGAGGTGCCGGACATTGGAGGAGCAACAGGCTTAAGTGGGCAGAAGGAGTCAGTGACAGGGAGCAGTTCAGACTCTGAGGCTGAAGCAGAGGAGGAGGGTTAACAGACTGCTGAAGAATCCAGGGAGTCTCCCTCTCCTGCTGCAATAAGCTCCTCTCCCGCCAGTCTCCCAAAACACGCAGAATAATGAGGAGAACTGAACAGAGGCCAGAGGTGCACAGACATAGTTTGAGGCTGCTTAGGAAACATCTGGGAGAGGAGGAGCCATAAGTACCTTCATTCCTGACAATTGCTCCATAAAGACCTACTGGGAAGTGTTGCTGAGCTATATGCTGTTTTGTCGGATAAAGAGTTAACTTCACTGATAACAGAGCCCTGTGTCTTTCGTACTGACCTGTGTCTGACTCCAGGTCTGACAGGCACACAGTATGGGGCCTTTTCAGTGGTGGCTCCACAACTGTGGAAATTGATTCGGTGCAATGTCAGCCAAGCCCCATTCCAAAGTCTATTTAAACAGGCCTTATCAACCTGCCCCATAGCACAAGCCCCATCCCTCAGTACTTTTCAGTGAACCTCAACGACCTTTTTGCTTTGGCATAATGGCCAATTAAGACCCGGGCTACAGAAATGCTACTGCTGTCAATTTTTAAATATTACAGTTATGCTAGGTTGCAGTCATTGTATAGTCTATACTGGCTTCTAGCAGTATCTAGAAGGAACTGTAAATTTAAGTGGTTATAATGTTTTTTTTTACTGGCTTGTGTGTTGGTTGGTCGTTGGTTAACAACTCTGGTTGGCAATTTCTTTTGCCCTACACTTTTCTTGCATTCACCCATAAGCATAAATGGTGCCCATAAGCATGAATGGCTCCCATTTACTTCTGTGTGATGGGGGGAAACAGTTGCAATCGGAGTGATCAACAGCTTTACAGCAGGATCTAATAAAAATTTTACATAAGAAATTGTCTCCCCCCAGTGGCTGACCTCATCAGCTACTGTAATCTTCACTCCCACCAAAACTGGTTTCCTTTAGCTCCTTTGGATCACTGGCTATGGTTAGCTAGGACTGGGGGAACGCAGGCTGTGGCAATGTCACAACGCTTGGTGAGTGATTCTACATGTTCTGGAGGCGAGGGGGGAAACTTGATAGCGAGATGCCATTTTTGCAGCATCCCATATTGCACGTAGCTGCCACGTTTGCACGCAACACCAAACCATAGTTTAGCACTACATAGATGAGTCTGGATGAGTTTCAGGCACCCATGTCTCCGCTAGAAAATTTACCAGAATTTCACCATGAAAGAATACTGGCTTTTCATTCCATTAGAGCCATGGATCATGGTTTAAAACAAGGGGACAACGAGTGCAAAACCTCTCCCCATCGCACCATGGTCCTCATGAACTCCTCCATTTAAATTACATTGTCCTGGGAGGGCACCTTCCACGGATGCCAGTGGAATCTTCTCTACAGCCTCGGTCCAGTATACCTTGAAGAAGCGTCTCCACCCCCCATCGTTCTGCCTGGACACTGAGGTCCAGCGCCGAAGGCCTTCTGACAGTTCCCTCACTGCGAGAAGCCAAGTTACAGGGAACCAGGCAGAAGGCCTTCTCGTAGTGGCACCCACCCTGTGGAACGCCCTCCCACCAGATGTCAAAGGGAAAAACAACTACCAGACTTTTAGAAGACATCTGAAGGCAGCCCTGTTTAGGGAAGCTTTTAATGTTTAATAAAAAGGTAAAGGGACCCCTGACCATTAGGTCCAGTCGTGACCAACTCTGGGGTTGCAGTGCTCATCTCACTTTATTGGCCGAGGGAGCCGGCATACAGCTTCCGGGTCATGTGGCCAGCATGACTAAGCCGCTTCTGGCGAACCAGAGCAGCGCACAGAAACGCCGTTTACCTTCCCGCCGGAGCGGTACCTATTTATCTACTTGCACTTTGACATGCTTTCTAACTGCTAGGTGGGCAGAAGCAGGGACCAAGCAACGGGAGCTCACCCCGTCGTGGGATTCGAACTGCGACCGTCTGATTGGCAAGTCCTAGGCTCTGTGGTTTTGTGCAGGAGACCATGTGGGGGGAAGGAGAAAGGAAAGCCCCTTTTGGTAGCAGGAGTCCTTGGTGCTGGCTTCTGCTAGCTGAACGGCACACATTTAATATATTATCTAGCGGTCAATATTTATGCATGGGAGTCCGTGGGACACAGCAAGGAGAGAGTTTCCCCCATAATCACCCTGTTCCCAGGGTTTCTTTGGAAGAGTAACTTTCTATCCCAGAACCCTGGGATATGAAATGAAATGTGCAGACACCGTTCACATATTTGCATGTGAAATTAGCCTTTACCCTCCTTTTCAGAGTTTGATTTTGCTCCCCCCACTGGCAGATTTTGCTCTCCGCCCCCCCCCCCCCCGGTACACCCATGTAATTCCACCCTGCTTTTTTGTAGGAAAACCAAAGCAGCTTTCAGCAGAGCAGAGCAATAAGTACCTTTTTAAAAATACATCATAAGGACACAAGAAGAGCCCCATCTGGTTCAACATTCTGTTTTCACAGTGGGCAATGTGATACCCCCAGGGAAACCCGCATGCAAGACCTGAGGGCATCAGCATTCTTCCTTCCTGTGGCTTCCAGCAAGCGGTATTCAGAGGCATGGCTGCTTTTGGCTGTGTGGAATGAGACACATGCATGCACAAAAGCACATGGCAAGTATATGTCCTTGTCTCATAGACACTGGCCAGGGAGTGCATCCCCATCAAGCTCAGTGGAACATACTTGAATGCTTCCCTTTCCATGGAGGAGCAGATTGCAGCTATAACAAAGGCGGCATTTCTTCATCTCCGCCAAGCTAAGCAGTTGGCTCCTTACCTCTCTTGCCCTGACCTAGCCACTGTGATCCACACGATGGTCACCTCCAGGCTTGATTATTGTAACTCACTCTACGCGGGGCTGCCCTTGAAACTGACCCAGAAACTCCAGTGGGTGCAGAATGCCGCGGCGAGACTCCTTATGGGGTCCTCGCTGCGAGATCACATTCACCCGGTGCTATAGCAGCTGCACTGGCTCCCGGAGGAGTACAGAATCAGGTTTAAGATGCTGGTTTTAACCTTTAAAGCCCTATACGGCCTAGGATCCTCATACCTACAGGACCACCTCTCCTGGTATGTCCCAGGACCTTACACTCTGCAAATAACAACATCCTGAAGATTCCAGGCCCCAGGGAGATTAAACTGGCCTCAACCAGAGCCAGGGCCTTTTCGGTCGTGGCCCCAGCCTGGTGGAAGGCTCTCTCACGAGAGACTAGGGCCCTGCGAGATTTGACATCCTTCCACAGGGCCTGCAAAAGGGAGCTGTTCCACCAGGCCTTTGGCCAGGGTTCAGTCTGACTCATTTTCTCTTTGTATAAGAACAAGCACAAAGGATGTTTCCCAGCCCGCTCACAGGTCCTTATAATATCAGTGTAAACAGTTGGTCCTGGCGAGTATTAACCGCTTTCAATTTTAACCTGACGATTGTCATTTGTCCAGTTTTAATTTTAATTTATTTGAATTAATTTGGGGATGCATTTTAATCGATTGATTGTTCTTTTGCATATTATATTATTTATATGATGTTAGCCACTCTGAGCCCGGCTCTGGCTGGGGAGGGCGGGGTACAAATAAAAATGTATTATTACAGTAATTACTATTATTCTGCGTCGACATGCTGTGGAACGCACACTGCAAAGCAAAACCTCCATACAACTAACTCACCTGGAGCGGAAGGGAAACCACCGGTTGGGTGGCTGGCTCAAGGGAACTACCCATCCTGGCAGGAGCTGGACAGCTGTTGGCAGCATAGTAATTCCGAAGTTTCTTACTATGGTTTTTACCCTGGAAAGAGAGCCTGAGTTAACAGCTTTCATGGGCAGCCATATAGCTGTGTGACAAGAAAATGCGGCTGCTGGTGGGGTTTACTGTGAAGGTCGATGCAATCCTCAACTGTCAATATTAATCAAAAGAGAGAGGAAAGGTTCTTTATCTTCATCCGCACAATGTGGCTGTCATCAGTTGTAGGACTCTTTCACTTAATAGGCAATCCTACAGTGGTACCTCGGGTTAAGTACTTAATTCGTTCCGGAGGTCCATACTTAACCTGAAACTGTTCTTAACCTGAAGCACCACTTTAGCTAATGGGGCCTCCTGCTGCAGCTGTGCCGCCGAAGCACGATTTCTGTTCTCATCCTGAAGCAAAGTTCTTAACCTGAAGCACTATTTCTGGGTTAGCGGAGTCTGTAACCTGATGCATACGTAACCTGAAGCGTCTGTAACCAGAGGTACCACTGTAATTTTGTTTGTTTATTATAGTCCACCTTTCCTTCAAGGAGCTCTAGATGTTGTGAACCACCCTGTAGGGCTGGGAAATATATCGCTATATGGTCCAAAACCGGTTTCAAGTGCATATCGTGATATCAGTTAAATAGTTTGCGACTTGGCAATATATCGCGAATCATGATGTGTGGTGGGTGGGTGTGCTATACAAAAATCACAACACAGGGGAAACCGTGAAGCCAGCCAATGACTCTACATAGCTCCATCCTTATTTCAGACATTGTGATCTATGAATACAGTGGTACCTCGGGTTAAGTACTTAATTCATTCCAGAGGTCTGTACTTAACCTGAAACTGTTCTTAACCTGAAGCACCACTTTAGCTAATAGGGCCTCCTGCTGCTGCCGCGTCACCAGAGCACAATTTCTGTTCTCACCCTGAAGCAAAGTTCTTAAACTGAAGCACTATTTCTGGGTTAGCGGAGTCTGTAACCTGAAGCGTATGTAACCCAAGGTACCACTGTATATTGTGATGTTTAGCTGGTGATATATCACAAAGCTGAAAACCAGGTATTGCCCAGCGCTACTGCCCTGAGATCTATGGATGAAGGGTAATATACATATTTAATAACTAATAAATAAATAACATGGTTCTCTTCCTCCCTGTTTTATCCTCACA